TTCCATGGGTTTTGTCGACGAACACCGCTGGGCGTTCGAATGTCCAAGATGGCTGCCACCACGTGTTCGTTCATACGAACGACGACCACACAGCCGACCATTCTGGAGTTGGAAGTGTCTGCGGTTAACCACAACATTAATGAGGGCAAAAAGGTTAACAAGCAGCACACTTCCCTGCTGGGTGGCCTGCCATTCGGTAACTCTTTTGGATAAAGGGGAATGAAACATAGGGCCGTACGGACAAGTGGCAATTACCGAACAAAAAGATGAACCAAGGTTAAATCACAGTAATCCAAAGACAGAGAGGTCTGTCACATAGTAATATTATTATTATTATTGCCATTTATATAGCGCCAACAGATTCCGTAGCGCTTTACAATATTATAAGAGTGGGGATTTAACTATAATTAGGACAATTACAACAAAACTTACAGGAACGACAGGTTGAAGAGGACCCTGCATACACTGGCATACATACATACACACACTGGCATACATACTGTGATCCTTGTCTGCAGTTAGCACGGTCCTCTAGGGTAAACAACAGGCACAGTCCTTTTATTTTCATATAATGCAGGCCCTTTATTTGTAAGTCCACACAGGAAACAGCAGTAAATGAAAACATAAATATAACACAAATCCCTATAAATAAAAACCTAGCTCGTCTGAGCACTTACTAACATCAGGTTCCCTATCTCTCAGGGGTTAAACTAAAACGAAACAATATAGGTTTCACCAGCCTAGTGTCTTTGTCAGCTCTCTGCACTCCAGTGCTTAGTCAGCCTGTTGCTTTCCTTTCTACAATCCCAGTGCTCCAAGCCAGCCTTAACTGCTTTCCTTTCTGCACTCCCAGTGCTCCAAGCCAGCCTTAAATGCTTTCCTTTCTGCACTCCCAGTGCTCCAAGCCAGCCTTAAATGCTTTCCTTTCTGCACTCCCAGTGCTCGAAGCCAGCCTTAACTGCTTTCCTTTCTGCACTCCCAGTGCTCCAAGCCAGCCTTAACTGCTTTCCTTTTGCACTCCCAGAGCTCAGTCTCCTTGACTCTCTCACTGGAGAGAACAGCCTCTCTCCTACCTGCTTCCAGGGAGGAAGCCAGCAATCCCCCCTTTACCTGCCTACCAGAGCCGCCGGGCCCGTGACAACCGTCATGGTTTTCACCCCCCTAATGGCGGACCTGGGTGCGAGCAACGGACAGGAGAAGGTCACCGGGCAGAGCAGAGAGACCGAGAAGGGGCATACCTATGGATCTGTGATGAGATATAAGAGGGGCTAGAATTGTTCAATGCTTTATAGGTATGGGTTAGCACTTTGAGTTGACTACTATAGGATACAGGGAGCCAGTGTGAGGACTGGCAGAGAGGTGAGGTGTGAGAGGACCGACTAGAGAGGAAAATCATTCTGGCGGCGTCATTCATTACAGACTGTAGTGGGGCTATGCGGCTTTTGGGAAGATCAACAGGGGACAGAGAGATTTGGGTTCCAGTTCAGTTATGCGACCCCTGGGAGGGGACATTGTCATTATATGTGATCCACCCCTTGCATGGGGAAACTATAAAGCCGAGTGTGGCCAATAAAGTTGTTGTACCGCCAGGACTGCATGTCGTCCAGTTACATGGTGGGAAATGGGTCTCTCCATACTATAACTGATTCCCTGAGTGGAGATAGTCGGTCTCCCTCCCCAGCGGCAGCCTGTGTTTCAGGTAGAGGAGCACAGCACCCTCTCTCCCCAGCGGCAGCTTACCCTACCAAGGGGAGACACCAATCTCCCAGACGGCGCAGATGGGACCGTGGTCTCTGTGCCCAACCTACAGGGATGCTGGACAACCTTTCCAGATCCCCAGCTACCCTCGCAGGAGTACCAGGAGGATGGGGTGACA